GGTGAAATTTCTGGGGACATTCATAAACACTGGTGAAATTTCTGGGGACATTCATAAACACTGGTGAAATTTCTGGGGACATTCATAAACATTGGTAACATTTCTGGGGACATTCATAAACATTGGTAACATTTCTGGGGACATTAATAAACATTGGTTACATTTCTGGAGACATTCATAAACATAAGTTACATTTCTGGGGACATTTATAAACATTGGTTACGTGTACGTGATAAAACCCATTTATTGTTCATATCTCATTCTTTCTCTACATACCTCCATCTTCACTTGCATCTGTCATTTCCTGTAACATTCGAAAGGCATATGATGGAATAGATCCTCCTTGGTAACGAGGTTCAATTGGGCCATCATTTCTCTGGTCGCCATCTTGGTTGTCATCCATGCCGGCTGCGAAAAGGTTCAACCATGTTAAAGTGCCGTTTTGTACTTTAAGAAGTGGTTGTCAGTACACAACACAATTGGCTTATACGAATAGAATGTTGATTAGTGGCTAGAGTAGAAAAATCACAGTCTGTAACGTTATACTTTAAGTACTGGCTAAATGTATTCCTTTTATCCGTTGGATCATAATCACTGGTTTAAAGAGTGGTTTGAAAAAAATGGATAAACATTGTCAGTTTTCAGTTAATGTTGAGACTGTAAATAGCAACCATTAAGTAAAGGTCTACAGTAAGTTTCGAAGTTGTTGTCATATTTTAACAATAACTACTTTAGGTTTAAATATATATATAGTTAGCAAAACTTTAAATGGTTGACTCTGTTAGATTTGTTGAAGATAATAATCCTTATACTGTTTTGTAATTAAGCACAAACCTACACAAGGGCTATCTGTGCTCTGCCCACCACGGGTATCGAAACCCAGTTTCTAGCAGTATAAGTCCACAGACATACCGCTGTGCCACTGGGGAGCGTTTTTTTTTAAATACACATACATATATACACACACACATTACTTAAATAATGCTCTATAAGTTGGAGGATTTTAGTAAAAAAAAAGGGGACTTTTCTTACTGGCAGGTGGGGGTGGTACATAACAGTCACCATCGGAACTTGTCATTCTTTGAATTGCCTGGAAAGCTGGAGAGGGAAAGGGGTTTCTTCTCAATCCAGAAAACCTAATCTCATCTTCTTCATGTTTCTTTGGAACATCTGGAATGAATATATATATAAATATGTACTTTTTCTAGAACCTTTTTTACGTTTATAGACGTGAACATTGTTTCTAGTTGTTGTAAACATAAAACGTCTTTTCCTAGTTGCTAATATAATATTGCAAACGTTTATTCTGAGAAGCCCCGAAACATTCACCATTATTTTGAGTTCCATAAAAAATTGTGTAAGCAAAACAAATACACAATTTAATTCTTAAAGTTTTGTCTTCTAAACGTCTCGAAGTTTTTTAATGATCTATTCACTCTCATTGGTGACTTTTATTAACTTCCTGTTTGTTTGTTGATAGGCTATCTGTCCTCTATCCACCAGGAGTATCGAAACCGGTTTCTAGCATTATAAGGCTTCAGACTTTTTTTCTGAGTCACTAGGGGGCTTTTATTAATTTTCATCCTTCACAGTATATTGATAAATACAATATATTTTACATCTTTTGTTTATTTTGACATGATAAAACACATGTAGATGAACATGTTCCCACATCATTTAAAACACAAACTTACAACAAAGTTTTTACTCGACTCTAACATTTGGTTCTTCACCATCAAGGGTAAGAGAAGTTTGAAACCTGTTCTCAATATTTCATTCACACCCTCGTAACGTTCTCAATACTTCATTCACATCTCCTTAACGTTCTCAATACTTCATTCACATCTCCTTAACGTTCTCAATATTTCATTTACATCTCCTTAACGTTCTCAATATTTCATTTACATCTCCTTAACGTTCTCAATACTTCATTCACATCTCCTTAACGTTCTCAATACTTCATTCACATCTCCTTAACGTTCTCAATACTTCATTCACATCTCCTTAACGTTCTCAATACTTCATTCACATCTCCTTAACGTTCTCAATACTTCATTCACATCTCCTTAACGTTCTCAATATTTCATTTACATCTCCTTAACGTTCTCAATACTTCATTCACATCTCTCTATCGTTCTCAAGATTTCATGCACATCTCTCTATCGTTCTCAAGATTTCATGCACATCTCTCTATCGTTCTCAAGATTTCATGCACATCTCTCTATCG